TCTCGACTAGACAATCCAGTGATTAACAGCATGAGCATCGATCTGCGCAATTGGGAACCGATGACATGTGTCAACCAAGTCAGCGAGCCTGACCACCCGATCCTGTTAGTCGCCTCTTACAACAAGCTTGGGTTACTGAAGATCAATTCTAACCCGGATCTTCACTGGTCGATAAACGGATAAACCATACATCACGTATTATGCTTGGTAACTTTATCTAAAGATACGTCCGTGTTGAATGAATACAATCAATTCAAAAACATAATTAAACGTTTTCAGGTTCATAACAATCCATACCAGTATGCCCTTAGTGCCTGCATTTAAGTATCGAATGTCCAGCATCATCGCAATAATACACACATATGCAGGCCAGGGCTCCATTTCACAAATCTCTCGTAAGCCTAAGATCTCGTAACTCTTCTCGTAGCATTCGTACCTCCTATATTGTAACACTGACTTACGACAGTCGTAGCGCTACGAAAGCTTTGTGAAACTGGGTCCTGACCTGTAGGACACAAGATGTTGTAGCCGAATCTGAGGCGACTATGCATAGTTTGATCGAACTTTCTACAGTACGTTTCTATAGTGTGAGTGTCATTTGATTAAAGTTTTTCATTCTGTTAATGTGAAAGCGTTAATAAATTCCTTAGGAGAGCTTCTATAGTGCAAGTGTAGCAGGTAGAAATGAGTTTGCATACCTTTGCGTCGTGCAGTTGTTGGTTTGGAAATTAGATCCATCCCTAAATTATATTTACTATCTCCTAAGATTTAAGTGAGTGAGTGAGTTTGGTTTTACGCCGCTTTTAGCAATATTCCAGCAACATCACGGCGGGAGACACCAGAAATGGCCTTCACAGATTGTACCCATGTGGGAATTCGAACCCGGGCCTTTGGCGTGATGAGCCAAGGCTTTACCCACTAGGCTACCCCACCACCCCTTCTGAGATTTGAACCGGAGATACAACACTGGTACTTATAAAATATCCATTTGCAATGATCATGATATCGTTTTTCTTAACATGATTTGAAACGTGTTATAAGTAATATTGGCAAGGGAGATGATATGCCTTTAAATCATTGTTGTGAATTTTACACAATTTGGTAAAGTTTGTTTGATGAATTGGATGTTTGAATCACTGCACTGTAATTTCTTCCGCTGGTGATGACACGCGTCCGGACGATTCCTCTTTACTGCGAACTGGTTTACATCCATAAAATAATAGTCAAAGATACAGTTAAGGTTTGACAGAGAATAACAGATAATACATGATGATATCGGTAAATATGCCAAACCTTTTACAAAGTGGCCAAATGTATTGAATGTGATATTTAGGATTGCACTTTGTGAGTAAAACACAATTCCTAGTACTTATGGGGGTTTGACTCACACCCTGGATTCGAACTCACACTTAATTAATGGCGATGTTTTACATATAATGATGAACCCAATATACAAGCGGCGCAGTGTAAAACGCAATAAGCAGGGTCAGACGAACAGCTACAGGATGAAGATTAGTATTAAGAGGGACAGGGCGATGTATGATACCCTGTCGTAATATAATGGAAGCACCTCACGTTGCTATATTTCCTGGAGGAGAAAAGGAGTGATCATCCTTGTATCAAAGTCTTCTGTCAAAATTATATATATCTTTGAGGTATGTCTCATGGGGACATAATGTGGCAGTTGGAAACTTGTGTCAGTAACTGTATCTCGTTGAAAATATTCTTGAGTCATCTGCAATCCCATTGTATTATAGTGAACAACTGAGTCCTGCGAGGAGGATAAGCTTCTCTGCCAGTCCTGAGAGGACAGTGTAACCACCATGCCCAAAGGTCCAAATTGGTTCTGCAGAGGAACCTTTGAAAGTGAAGGGAGAGTATATGGTTTGTCTCTATTGATTAATTTTCCTTTCTTCTTCTTTGACTTATCTATGGTTGGTTGTGAAGCTGACATTTCAGATGTTTGGGGTTTTTTTCAGTCTGAATTTCTGTCTGAGATCCAGACGTAGATCGACTGACTGCGGGAAAAGGTTGAAGGGCTGAAGCTGAAAGGGTAGGTTGTGCTGATGTTAGCCATGTCACGTCAGTCTGACATGAAATGGAGGAGAGCGAGTGACAACAGCGGCGTAGGTAATGTTTGTTTTGCTTGAGAGTCCATTAGCTTGATAGCTTAATAGGTTTAACCAGCAGTTGAAACAGCAGTTAACTTGGAGGATATCTTCCCCGATAGTATGAGCACTGCAGTTATCAGAACTGATTCGAAAGACAACAGAACTAAAAGGTAACTTTTCTTGACATAACAAGAGGTAGACCATCGTAAAAGACACGATGGCAAGTTCTTGGCCTTCGGGATACAGGGAAGTCCTGTCGCATATCCTGTTACAAATCTGCAGGAACTGACCCTTTCACACCAATATGAATGGCAGAGTATACCTGTGATAAGAATTTGACTCTTGATTGTCAATATGAAGAGTGGGTGAGTGAGTTTAGTTTTACTCCACACTCAGCAACACTCCAGCTATATGGAGGCGGTCTGTAAATAATCGAGTCTGGACCAGACAATCCAGTGATCAACATCATGAGCATCGAGCTAAGCACTTGGGATAAGATTACATGTGTCAACCAAGTCAGGGAGCCTGACCACCCGATCCCGTTAGTCGCCTCTTACGACAAACATGGGTTACTGAAGATCAATTCTAACCCGGATCTTCACGGGTGTCAGTATGACGAGGCGAGGGTTGGCTAAAAATCCCTACCGGGAGCAGTATGTGGTGAATATTTTACCTTGTGTATCTTGACGACGTAGCTACGCCTATCCAAATCAGTGGAAGTTAAATGTATATACAGAATCCTTTCGCCCGGACTGTATAGCCCTTTCCGCTTTCCCACCGGCATATACTGATTGTATGCATTTCAACATTCAAGACAACTAATTTTATTTTTTAGAAATTTACTTAAATACCTTTCAATCTCAGGGAATAGTTTGAAAAATATTATCACATTTTTCCTGCCGGAAAAAACCCCCGAAGCTTTGGATGATATTAAGTATGTAAAATGTTACTGAAAATGACAGTATATACTCATAGAAACGAATGAGGGAACACATGAAAGTACAAGATTTCCTGAATTTCACTCACAGTGCAAAACATACCTTGTGAAGAAATCTGGAAAAGATTAAAGGAACACTTGTACATTCATGATTTCACTTATTCTTTTCTATGTGTTTAAATGTTATTAAACTTCTATCTTTGACAAACCCATACGCTGGAACAGAAAGCGTTAAAGAGGGTGGTGTTGCAACTCATGAAAGGTCGATATCTTGTGTGACACTCATATACGCTGATACAGGCTGGACATTGTATCAAATCACTTTTTCACATATCGACGTTTAGGGATTCGTAAAATACAGCTCGAATACTTCAAAACAAGTTTGTTTGAATAAATATAAAGTGGTTATGAATTAATATTAAAAGGTAATTTTAATCGTTTACACGCAGAAATATGGACATAGTCAATAGCATTATATACTACCCATCAAAAGTTTAGACTCACTAGTGTAAATGTAGCCACTTACTTGTCCACTGTTCTAAACTAGCTTTTTGCAAAATATTCCATACTGTTTAAAGGTACTGTTTAGTTATGAACTGGTGTATTGTAAAACATATTCGTAACATTGAAAAGATTATTGTCATGAGTTCAGTAAATGATTAAAATCTGTGAAAATTGGCGAATTCTTAACAAAACTTTACACCAAAACGCATCTGTTCACATGCACGACATTTGCTCATGCCTTTCGCAATTTGAAGCATCATCCTTGTGCAATTCATCTGCATAAGGTTTTCAGTTGGTTCCCCCAAGTTGGTGGAGAAATTCATCTTCGATGTAACCACATACATATACATAACATATAGTGAGTGCTTTAAGTGAGTCTAAACTTTTGATGGGTAGTATATATACTATGCCTTTAATTGGAGAGCTTCAAGACATTTGAAGTATGGTGCATTTGAATCTATGAGTGAGTGAGTGAGTGAGCAATATTTCAGCAATATCACGGCGGGGTAAACCAGAAATGGGCTTCAGACATTGTACTCGTGTGGGTAATCAAACCCAGGTCTTCGGCGTGACGAGCGATCGCTTTAACGACTAGGCTACCCCACAGCCCCTTAATTTATGAACCTCTGTAATAGCACTGTTTGTGATGAATTAAAATACACATAATTTTGGTGTTGGTTTTTTGTTTTTGTTTTTTTCTTGATATGCATTTCTTTTTAGTGGTTATGTTATTGTTGTTGTTGGTTTGTATTTTTTTTGTTCTTTTGTTTTGTTTTGTGTGTGTGTTGTTCTTTTTATATTGTTTTGTTTTTGTTTGTTTTGTCTTTTAGGGGAGGAAGGATAATTTTACAGTATGCAGCACCAGCTGATTCATTGTTACATATTAATAAACTGAACGCAGCCAGAACTCCAGAGTTATTTTAGTCATGGTTTGTGGTATTGTCTGTATTGGTCTGTAGTTGGAGTTGCATGGTGTTCTGCTTGCATGGTTAGCACTATGGATGGTTTCACAATCCCACAACTGTTGGCCAGCGTAATAGGATATTACTTACCTACCAATGACAACCCGCCAATAGCCAAGATATTGACCAATTTTTTTTTTCGTTACACAAACCATTGAAAACTATTGACGAGCTGCAAATTATGTATTGATCAAGTTGGTGACATGTAGACGTGTTGCCGTTCCAATTTCGGAGATCAATTTGTATACAACTAGGACAATTTAGGAAACTTTGGGGACATATCTCTAACCTTATTTCTGTATAAGCCAGTGAAAAGTCACAAATGCAGATCTAACGTATTGATATAAAGGGCTCACAAATACACGTATTGTGATCAAAGTAAACATTAGATGTAAAGTTGAATAGGTAAATCTCATTAAGCAAAGCCAGTACAACCTCTTCAAACACCAATCATACTGTTGGAACACCACAATAGGACTTGATTATTGTGGGTGTTGACGTGTGTTGAGTGGGTTAGACCTGGAGCAGCTGGTAGTTGCACCAGAGTATTTAAACACTGCGACATTGGTGTTGCCGTCATCACAGCCACAGGTAAAGGTAGGTGTGAGTAGGTGCAGTTACATTAGCATCATAACTTGCCATGGTGACGGAGACATTCTGGCTCACTGTCCTCAGAAGTTGCAGAGTTGCGTCCCTTAGATGTTTCAGGATGTGCTGGTCAAATTTTATATTCAACCGATTATTATCCATAATCTGTTAGCTTCAGAAATGGGGTTTTGTATATGATCTATGTCTCTCATGACTTGCATCTTATACAGACTTGATGCGCCATATTGCAGAGGTACGGTTTGCATTGGTTTTAAACCCAATTCAATCGTTGTCATTTTATCCTGCTTTTCACTCACCCTGTTGTTCCTTCATCTTGCTATTGACTCATCATGTCGTGCACTCATTCTGTTGGTAACTCATTGTATTGTTCAATCACCGTGTTGGCCATTTACTTATGGTGTTGTCCACTCATTCTGTTGGTAACTCATTCTATTGTTCAATCACCATGTTGGCTATTAACTTATGGTGTTGTCCACTCATTCTGTTGGAAACTCATTGTATTGTTCAATCACCTTGTTGGCCATTAACTTATGGTGTTGTCCACTCATTCTGTTTGTAACTCATTGTATTGTTCAATCACCGTGTTGACCATTAACTTATGGTGTTGTCCACTGATCCTGTTGGTAACTCATTGCATTGTTCAATCACCGTGTTGGCCATTAACTTATGGTGTTGTCCACTGATCCTGTTGGTAACTCATTGTATTGTTCAATCACCGTGTTGACCATTAACTTATGGTGTTGTCCACTGATCCTGTTGGTAACTCATTGTATAGTTCAATCACCGTGTTGGCCATTAACTTATGGTGCTGTCCACTCATTCTGTTGGTAACTCATTGTATTGTTCAATCACCGTGTTGGCCATTAACTTATGGTGTTGTCCACTGATCCTGTTGGTAACTCATTGTATTGTTCAATCACCGTGTTGGCCATTAACTTATGGTGTTGTCCACTCATTCGGTTGGTAACTCATTGTATTGTTCAATCACCGTGTTGGCCATTAACTTATGGTGTTGTCCACTGATCCTGTTGGTAACTCATTGTATTGTTCAATCACCGTGTTGGCCATTAACTTGTGGTGTTGTCCACTCATTCTGTTGGAAACTCATTCTATTGTTGGCCATTCACTCATCCTGATTGCTCAGTCATCATGTTGTTCACTCATTCTGTATGTCAATCATTCTGTATGTCACTCATCCTGCCGTTCACTTATTCTCTATGTCACTCATCCAGTTGTTAACTTATCCTTTTGATAACTCGTTCTGTTGGTCATTCATCCTTTTGTCCACTCAATCTGTTGTTTACTCAATCTGTTGTTCACTCATCCTGTTGTTCACTCATCCTGTTGTTCACTCATTCTGTGTGTAACTCATCCTGTTTGACCATTCGCTCATCCTGTTTGTAACTCCTGTTGTCCACTCATCGCATTGGTCACTCATTCTGGTTCACCCTGCTTACTAAGCCTTTCAACCTCAAGAGAATCACGTTTCTGGCTCTAAAATCTTGTTTTAGTCAAACGGTTTTAATCGAGAAATAGATAATATTATCCTATGCATATTCTGTATATTTCTTTTCATGACTAATGTATGCCAACGTGTTAATTGCGCCAAAATGATATTTTCACTAATATAAATTGTACTCATGGCGCCCCTAAACCCAGACTGTCATTGAATGACACCTGATAAAATCCGCCCTATTCCATACTTGAAACTGTCATGGCTGCTTCGGTACAGTGGCAGCAGGTGGTAGATTCAATTATATCAGTGTTGGGAATCGAATTTGAACTTGAAGGGGGTAGCCTAGTGGTTAAAGCCGTTGCACGTCACGCCGAAGACCCGTGTTCGATGGGTACAATATGTGAAGCCCATTTCTGGTGTCCCCCGGCGTAATATTGCTGAAATATTGCAAAAAGTACGTAAATTTAAACTCACTCACCAACTTGATTGGCCTACTGAGAGAAGAATAAAATACAAATGGGTAAACTAAATGTTTCCTTTCGATACTGAAAAATATTTGCCCTTTCCCCCATTTTCTATAGAGAGGGACAGAGTGTGTGGTCAAATAAATATTATTTTAGAATAAAGGGAATAGTATGTCATAGAGTTTCAACAAATGCGTTCATGAATCATGTTGGTTCTTTCAGTGTAGTGTTGGTTACATGGTATGCTGTAGTTGCAAGAGAACAAATTGATTGTCAAAAGGAAACGTTTTCAAGGAAAACTTGCGCTTTCGCATACCGTTTCATTTCAAACCAAACTTTAGGGATTAAAAGTAGCTATATTTCGATAATGATAATAATTTGCTGATAAGATATTTCATGGTACAATAAACCCGTGAAGATCCGGGGTAGAATAGGTCTTCAGCAACCCATGTGCTTGCCATAAAAAAGGCGACTATCTTGTCGTAAGAGGCGACTAACGGGATCGGGTGGTCAGTTTCGCTGACTTGGTTGACACATGTCATCGGTTCCCAATTGCGCAGATCGATGCTCATGCTGTTGATCACTGGATTGTCTGGTCCAGACTCGATTATTTACAGACCGCCGCCATATAGCTGGAATATTGCTGAGTGCGGCGTAAAACTAAACTCACTCACTCACTCACTCATGGTACAATAGAACTCATATCCTGTAAAGTATTATTTTTTTATTCATTTCATCCCCTGACAAAGTTCTCGTATGAAAATATTTCTCTGGTGACTAGAAAGACCAATTGACTAGTGTGTCTCGACTGTCGAGTGACCTCTAACATACCATGAGCCATGAAAACAGCAGATATTGTGGTGATCTAATCCACCGTTGTGTCCAATGTTGATGTGTGACCTTACGCTTGTCTCGAAGTAAAAGCTTGGTCCAAACGTTTTCCTTATCAAGTAATCATTTCGCGGTTGTGTTGAACATCACATATCTCTATATGTCCCTTCAGCTTGGACACAGGGTGTTCTTACACAATCTTTAACGTTTCTAACCCGAAAAATGGATACTGATGAAATTATGGAACAGTGAGGGGTATATATTTATTGAAACCAGATAGGCTTGTTTGCCCATCCTTTTCAGGTTAAGCTCAATAAAAATATAAATAAATAAAATAAATATAAATATATATAAACTGTTACTATGAGTAAATGGTTTTGGAGATTTAATTATAAATGGGAAAACAGTTTCAATGGTTTGGGAGATTATTAGTTTAAAAAAATAATTTAAGTACTATTTCAAGTTGCATCTACAGACAGAAGAGTGACATGTGTTGGCAGTTACAGCATCAAATTAGTACAAACTTGTATACACATATGAGGGTGTACATATATAAATAAATAGGAGCTAGGTGAGAATGTTATAACTGTAGCGGACACTTTAGTTTGAGTAAGTCAAACTGTATGAGTGCTAAATTAAAATGTCAGAGTATAGTTTTGGAGATTTACATGGTAAATGGGAAAACAGTTTTAATGGTTTTGGAGATTTATATGGTAAATGGGAAAACAGAGTAAATGGTTTTGAAGATTTACATGGTAAATGGGAAAACAGTTTTAATGGTTTGGGCGATTTACATGGTAAATGGGAAAACAGTTTTAATGGTTTTGGAGATTTACATTGTAAATGGGAAAACAGTTTTAATGGTTTTGGAGATTTACATTGTAAATGGAAAAGAAACATTTGTAATGATTTTGGATAGTTACATGATAAATAGAAAAAAAAAGTTTTAATGGTTTTGGAGATGGTAATGGAAAAAGGTTTTAATGTGTTCTAGATACATTTCTTTATACCCCTTTGAAATGCTGACCGTGTTCTTTGGTAGACACATTATACATTCCCCGTTTCTATTTGTGAACCTGTGACTTGAAACGAATGAATAGCTAGTCAACAAACATGTGCAATATGTCAATACAACCTTGTACCGTTGAAGCACGTTGTGCGGTAAACGTCGATACGTTGACAAGTATTATGTGTGGAGTTAGTACCTCAAATTGCTGTATACGTTGTCTCCTTAGAAATTCACATTTGTCATATTCTGAATACATGATTGATTTTACCATTTTATCCAGTAAAAAGCTTTCTCCTCTGTGAGTGTAATTTGTAATAATACCGTCATAGTTTGGTCATTAAATATCATAACATACAGTGAAGCTCTCCCTGGTAGGTTACGTTCATAACAGCGTTATCGGCTTCAACATGTCCGAAGTTTCATAAATATAGAGTAAATACGAAGAGCACATATACCAAACATGCATTGCAAACAAAAGAAACAGGACTACCTGAAAGCTCAACTACATTAATATTCCCAAGATATTTCGAATGTTGCATTCAAATATTTAATTGGTGTTGCTTAATATTTTAAGGTATTATCTATTTTGCACATTAGTCAATGATAATGGATGGTCGTGTAACGTAGTGGTTACAACTTAGAGTGAGTGAGTGAGTTTGGTTTTCGCCGATTTTAGCAATATTCAAGCAACATCACGGCGGGGGACACCAGAAATGGGCTTCACACATTGTACCCATGTGGGGATTCGAACCCGGGTCCTCGGCGTGACGAGCCAACGCTTTAACCACTAGTCTACCCCACCGCCCCGTCACACTTAGAACGTGGTTCGGTTCCCCTCATAGGAATAAATGTGAAGCCTCTCTTTAGCGTCCCCTGCTTGTGCTGTGTTCGACCAACACCCAGGGCGTTGGGGTAGTCTTGTGTTTAAAGCGTTCGCTCGTACACTCGGGTTCGATTCCCAATATGGGTACAATGTGTGAAGCGCATTTCTGGTGTATATTGCTAGAATATTGCTAAAAGCGGCGTAAAACTAAACTCACTCACTCGACCAACACCCACCTACAAAACATCTTACTGTTTCCCATTACAATGAATGTTTGGCCTAGTGGTGACGGTGTCATTTAGTCACGATGACAATCAGTTATATATTCCACACTTTATAATGGTCTTGGTAAAATTGCCCCAAAGCAGCGCTCAGGAATACTAATTTGGGTACATATCTTCCATTTCAATGTCACATATGTTCTCGTCACGATATGGCTGAAATATTGCCGATGTGACGTTAAATAATAACTCACTCAATTCAGGGTGTATTTTCAGCATCGCCATGGAAACCATTATTGTGACGCTCACATTGCTCCTGTTCGTCGCAGGGATCCAAGCTGACTGTACTGTATCATCAGCTATAAGCATATCAGGTAGGACAAGGCTGATCTGTATTCAGCTGTTGCTTTTACACCATATCAAATGTAATAACCTCCCTTGGAATGTAGGAGCAGTACCAACATTGCTGATGCTCATTCTGACGGGAATATCTACGAAAGCCCAGAGGGTCAAAATGGTTTTTTTAATTTTCTGGTTTACAATTGGTACTAACCACTTTTGTCTGGTAAATACCACTTTTGAAACTAGTAATTACCACTTTTGTATGGTAATTACCACATTTGAAACTGGTAATTACCACTTTTTCTAGTAAATACCACATTTGAAACAAGTAACTTAGATAGAACTTTAAAATTTTACCTATTCTTATTCATATTCATTTTATGCGTTTTAAAATAATCCTCTAATATCACGGTTCAACTTTCATTCAACAAACCGAATGATATGTAAATTCTACCATTTTCAAAAATAACGCCATGTATTGATTGTTGCATTTTAGTTTTCTATAAATATACTTTTATCATTTCAGAATATCTAGATACACATGTAACATTTTCAGCTTCGGTATTAAAGGAAATCCAGAGCTTACAATTTTTATCGTTACAGAAATGTCTTGTCCAAATCTAGAGTTCATTTTGTGCATTTTCATTTAGTGATTGGCTGATCCTTAAAGTTCGACTTACTCGTTAATATCTAATGTTATTACTCGCCAGTGGAAGATACTGCAGAGTAATATGTTACGGCAATATTACACTAGGGTAACGCTAGTCTTATGACGCCATAATGGTTCACAGTTATGACGTCACAATGCTTTACCGACGTCACAATGGCTATACAATAACGGGATTCCGAGCCTGGCGCACCGCCTGGCATACGCACGTGGACCGGTGGAATGCTTGGGTTACAGTATGTCCCCGGTGGCCACGGCGGCCCCGTTTCGCCGAGACGGGAACAAAACGGGATGGACGTGAGACAACTTTGGGGAACTGAATGAGCAAACGTGACAGTCCGTGAGTGCCGTGGGTGCCGTGCCAGATTTTAAAACTGTTCAAAACTTTGCCACGGCAGCCACGGTACTAATGAGAAACCTGGGGCAACACAACAAAACGTGACAGCACGTAACAGGCTATAACAAAATGTGTAGACGGTCCGTAGTGGGACCGGAAGCATGTGTATTCCCCGGCATCTCTCGATCCTTTCAAGTTTTGTTACGTTCGACCACGTTTGTTTGGCGTTTTGTCACGGTTGTTTCACCCGTGTTGCCCGTTTTGTCCCTGTTCTCACGGCATGCTAGGTTGTATGGTAGCCGATTCGTCCCGTTCTATCACGACGCATACAGGCGTGTGACGGTTTACAGGGCCGGCGAGATGCGGCACGTTGCGTTCTCTGGCATTCCCTCTCTGTAGCTGATGCTGGCCTACTTGCTGACGCAAGGACTCGATGTATGTCCCCAGCAAACATACAAACACAAAATCTTCTTCATCTTGGGTTTTTTATGCTGCTCTTGTGTCCCAGGATACAATGGCTGCTATTGCTTCGGAGGCCTTATTTTTATACCTCGGGCACAAACGTGGTCCAAAGCTGGCCGGCGTCCACGTTTCATTCGTAGAATGTCTTGACAGAACGCACTAAACGTGTCAAAACCTTGAACAAAACGTGAGAAACGTGAGGGAACCCATCAGAACGCGACAGCCTGCCGGGAGGAAACGTAATGGCATCCGTAGTGGACTGCGGGCCGGGCCGTAGTGTGCCATTGAGCTTCCGGGACTCAGCAGCCCGTTTATCCCAACAGCCCACCAGATACCATGATAGACCTTGAGGAAACTTAGCAGGACCTAACGAAACTTGACTTTGGAGGAAACAAATGGCCAAAATCGCACGTCGCATTACGTTTCGGGGAAACGGGGCTGCTGTGGCCGCCGGGGACATAGTGTAACCCTAGCATAAGCGTCGTACCACTTGATTGAAGCCCGGCGTACGCCGAATGAGCCGGTTTGAGATGACCGGCAAAGACAGCGCAATATGGCGGACAATCATAACCATGTAACATTCAACAACCTAACTTTTGAAATGGACTAGTTTTCACCATTACATATCTAACTGATTTATATGAAAATAAACATACATTATTTGAAGCAATAACTTGCAATGAAATTCGAAATATAGTAGAAGTATCCAGTTTAATAAGGGACAAAAAGTGGCCCAGAAACGTCGTATTATACAATATAGAAGAAGTTGCCATTCATATACTAGTCTTATATGGTAATTACCAGTTTCAAAGTGGTAATTACCAGTTTCAAAAGTGGTATTTACCAGTTTCAAAAGTGGTATTTACCAGTTTCAAAAGTGGTATTTACCCTTGTCAAAAGTGGTATTTCAAAAGTGGTTTACCAAAAGTGGTATTTACCAGTTTCAAAAGTGGTATTTACCCTTGTCAAAAGTGGTAATTATATGAAAAAAATGGTTATTACCAATTTTAAAACAGAAACTTCAAAAAACCATTTGGACCTCTCTGGGCTTTCGTACATATCTCATGTAAAAGTATGACCACTGCATTAACGTAACGAGAAAGAAGCAAAAAGAAATATCAGACATTATTATCTGGCTCGGTTGGTCTGTACTTTGAGGTAGTTGTATTTACCCTGTCGTCACTTTCAGGAGCTGGGCAAGGCAGCTGTAGTGTTGAGCCGCAGACAGTAGCGGACAATACAGAGGTGAAAAGCTGCGGCATCACCTGTACTTGTCGTGGCCCGACCTTGACATGTTGCTTGTACGTATCTTCACTTCACTAATAGGTTCAGCCTCTAAACTGTTTCCTTCAGCGTAATATTGAACTTTCTGTAAGGTAGTATATAAGGTTCGTCTGTTTGTTCTGTTTGACGATCTGGGTTAGAATTGCTCTTCGGCTTCAGCAACCCACGCTTGTCGTAAGAGGCTGACTTGGTTGACAACTGTAATCGTCTCCAAATTGTGTAGATCGATGCTGACGCTAATGTTCACTGGACTGTCTGGTCAGACTCGAATATTTACAGACAGCCGCCATGTAACTGGAATATTCCTGAGTGCGGCGTTAAACTACAAGCAAACAAATTTAAGCACTATGCAATATTCCAGTTTGTGTATACATACCCGGTCCATTTAGCCGGGGCGGTGGGGTAGCCTAGTGGTTAAAGCGTTCGCTTGTCACGCCGAAGACGCAGGTTCGATTCCCCACACGGGTACAATGTGTGAAACTCATTTCTGGAGTCCCCCGTCGTGATATTGCTGGAATATTGCTAAAAGCGGCGTAAAACTAAACTCACTCACATAGACGGGGCTAATTATGCTCTCACGTTGACGTTTTGAATGTACTTTCAGTGAAAGCAGCTGCACGACTGTTGCCGCCTCATGTTCAAGTATCCAAGTCACTAATGGAGCTCCCTCCTGTGAACTGAAGCGGAAACGCCGGGACCTCCTGGAGCAGCTCCTTCACCGTGCGAAGCGGGAGGAGGAAACGACGACAACGGAGGATAGAATAGTTATAGACGGCACCACGTCTCCTCCTACTACAACAACCACAGCGGCTTCCCCGCCCGTTCGTAAATAACCAGCATCACTGTCCTGATTACAAATAATGCTTATATTAAATTAGTTAATAACACTGCTAACACGTGGACGAGGCCTGACGTGTCATTACGTACTATTTACATTGAAACCGTATACTCAGAAAACCACTCTTACTGCACGGAATTTTGTTGAAACGTCACAGTTTAATAAATTTGCTTCTCAATGAGAACAGGACTTGTTGATTTGTAAATGAGAACATTCACTGAGTGAGTGAGTATGGCTTAACGCCGCTTTTAGCAATATTCCAGCAATATCACGGCGGGGAACACGAAAAATGAGCTTCACACATTGTACCCATGTGGGAAATCGAACCCGGGTCTTCGGCGTGACGAGCGAACGCTTTAACCACTAGGCTACCACACCGTCCCCATTCACTGAGAACCTGATGCACAATAACAGCGTTTCACCGTAAAATGTCTTGACGCCATTTGTACGCCGAAGATAATATCGGGTTGACTAACAAGACATAACTATAAATCAAATCAATACTACTCTAAGGCACCTGCCCCAAACCAGCATGTCTCCATTAATGAACATACAAGGGGAAAAAACAATTGTAAGGGTAGGTGTTTGTAATGTATCGTTAATAAGTGAAAAGTTGATGAATGACTAAAAGGTATTTAAAATTTGATTCCTTTCATCATTATTTAAGAATAGAAAATACCATCTACTAGGAACATTTATAGAACACTACAAGAAGTCGTTTTTATGTTATCAATATCCATGTAGTGCAGGGGAAGCTGGAACTTTCGCAAACACCTGGTGTCAACATTTATTTTCAGTAATTTATTGACATAATTGTCAACAATATTTCCACTTTTACGCAAAAACAAAGTAAGGAGATCTTACGACAGATATTTGAGGCTTATTACCATCTGATGTTTAAGATGTGTTTGAGATATTTATGAGTGATTGAGTTTTACGCCGCACTCAGCAAAATTCCAGCTCTATGGCGGCTGTCTGCAAATACTCCAGTCTGGACCAGACAATCTGGTGACTAACAGCATGAGTATCGATCTACGCAACTGGGGTACGATGACATGTATCAACTAAGTCAGTGAGACTGACCACCCGATCCCGTTAGTCGCCTCTTACGACAAGCATGGGTTACTGAAGATCAATTTTAACCCGGATCTTGACGGGTGGGAGATAGTTAAGACTATATAAAGCACAACATGACCCTTATGGAGATAGTCATGGCTATGTAAGGCACAAAATTGCCCTTATTTAGATAGTGGTGGCTATATAAAGGACAACATGGCCCTTATGTAGATACTAATGGTTATGTAAGGCACAACATGGCCCTTTTATGTAGATAGTGATGACTATATAACACAACATGGCCTTTATGGAGATAGTGATGGCAATTGAAATCTCAACATGGCCCTTATGTAGATACTAATGGTTATGTAAGGCACAACATGGCCCTTATTTAGATAGTGATGGCTATATATAACACAACATGGCCTTTATGGAGATAGTGATGGCAATTGAAATCTCAACATGGCCCTTTTTGTAGATAGTAATGGTTATGTAAGGCACAACATGGCCCTTATTTAGATAGTGATGGCTATATAAAACACAACATGGCCCTTATTTAGATAGCCATGCGTATATAAAGCACAACATGACCCTTATTCCGATAGTGATGGCTATATAAAGCACAACATGGCCCTTATTTAGATAGCCATGCCGATACAAAGCACAACATGACCCTTATTCCGATAGTGATGGCTAAATACAGCCCAACATGGCCCTTATGGAGAGTGATGACTATATAAATTACAACATGGCCATTATGTAGATAGTCATGTCTACAGAAAGCAGAACGTGGCCATTATGAAGAGTGATTCCTATATAAGGCACAAAATGGCCATTGTATAGATAGTGATGTCTACATAAAGCAGAACATGGCCCTCATTAACTAACTATATAAAGCACAACATGGCTCTTATTTGGATAGTGATGGCTATATAAAGCACAACATGACTCTTATGAAGAGTGATGGCTACATGAAAGCACAACATAGCCCTTATTTAAGTAGTGATTAAAAAGCACAACATAGCCCTTACTTAAATAGTGATAGCTATATAAAGAACAACGTGGCCCTTATGGAGAGTGATAACTATATATAAAGCACAACATTTCCATTATGTAGATAGTGATGACTATATAAAGCATAACATAGCCCTCATTTAGATAGTGTTGGATGTATAAAACTCAACATGGCCCTTATTTAGATAGTGACGGCTATATAAAGCACATCATGGCCCTTATGGAGAGTGATAACTATATATAAAGCACAACGTTTCCATTATGTAGATAGTGATGGCTATATAAAGCATAACATAGCCCTCATTTAAATAGTGTTGGATGTATAAAACTCAACATGACCCATATTTAGATAGTGATGGCTATATAAAGTACAGCATGTCCATTATGTAGATAGTGATGGCTATAGAAAGCACAACATGGCCATTTTGTAGTGATTGAGTTTAGCTTTACGCCGCACTCAGCAATATTCCAGCTATATGGCAGCGGTCTGTAAATAATCGAGTCTGGAGGCTCATTCTAACCCGGACCTTCACGGGTCGCCATTTTGTAGCTAGTGATGACTATATAAAGCAGAACATGGCCCTTATGGAGAGTGATGGCTATATAAATTACAACATGGCCCTTATGGAGAGTGATGGCTATATAAAGCACAACATAGCCCTTTTTCAGATAGTGATGGCAATATATAAAGAACACCAAGGCCCTTAGATAGTGATGGCAATATAAAGCACAAGATGGCCCTTACGGAGATAGTGATGGCTATATAAAAGATGTGAGGCTGAGGCTGTATGATAACTCGCTGCACCTAACAGAGGGAGTGGAATAGATGGAATAGTGGAATAGAATGCCAGAAAAAAAATATTCGTGGGTCAAGGGAACACTCCAGTGCCTTGGGCATGTACTAGTTGCGTGGATATGTGCGCTATATAAATATCCTATAATTATAATAATAAATAAAGCACAACATGGCCCTTATGGAGAAAGTGATGGCTATATAAAGCTCAATATGGCCCTTATTTAAATAGTGATGGATATATAAAGCACAACAAAGCCCTTATGGTGAGTGATTGAGTGAGTTTAGTTTTACGCCGCACTCAGCAATATTCCACCTATATGGCGATGGTCTGGAAATAATCGAGTCTGGACCAGACAATCCAGTGATCAACAGCATGAGCATCGACCTGCGCAATTGGGAACCGATGACATATGTCAACCAAGCCAGCGAGCCTGACCACCCGATCCCGTTAGCCGCCTCTTACGACAAGCATGGGTTACTGAAGGTTCATTCTAACCCGGACCTTCACGGGTATAGCCCTTATGGAGATTGATGACTACATAAAGCACAACATAGCCCTTATTTAGTGATGATGGCAATATTAAGAAAAACGTGACCGTTATCTAGATTGTCATAGCAATATAAAGCAGTACATACTCCATTTCCAGGCCAATCATCCCATACAGATCACAATCCCAGCTCTAAACCGTCAACCCATCCCGTGTCCAGGTCTAAAAGCCTATGATCTTATTGTCAGCACTATCACCCCTATACGAATCTCATGCATCGGCTAGGTCATCTTACAGACATTCCATTCTCCGCTCTCTGCTGTTTCCAGGGAGTCTCGTAAGTGGATGGTACCCATGGTTCCCTCCAATGACCCACACCATTTGCTGTCCACTTACCAGTTGTCACACAGAAGACATTGAGATCAACAAAGCAATACCTGCTGTTGTAAGGAAATAACACAGCTAACCTCTGTACGGAAAGTACGACTCCTAGTCCCTGAACAACACCATTTCCCTTCTTTAATGTAATGCTATATTTTGCATAGAGTCATTTAGCTCAGGATCCTGTCACGTTTGAATGGAGTGGACTTTTATGCCACAAATATATATTTCCAGAAACTAAGCATTACCTAATTAGATCCAATAGTGTTCAATTTCAGGATATTTGAAACTCCATTCTAACCACCATTTAAAGGGAAGGAGATTGGTGTGCAGCCAACCCCGTTCCAAGCTGTTTTAAAGTGTGTGACGAATGTAAGTCCATACATGAAGTTGACAACGACACCACCTGCGACATGACGTACGGCATCCTGGACGAGAAAACGATTATCTGTCAACAATCTGCGCAACATGTGCTCATGAATGGTGGTTGAAAAGAAGCCACGAATGCTGAGCTACTGGTAGCTGCTTTAAGCACATTTCCTGTGTAAAAGCTCTGCATCAAATGGATAAATCATCAACATTACTTTAGAGTGTTGTGTGATCTTGTAGCAACGTTAACGTTGTATTTTGTTGTCGTCTCGAAAAAACGGGATTTTGAACTGTTTGATCGGCATTTTCTAAATTGATGAGTAACTGTAAAAGCAAGAAATTGTATGGATGACGACCTTTGATTGTATTATCAGCGACAATCAGATCTTTGTTAGTTTTCAAGCAAGTGTGAAATGTTGTTGTTGCTTTAAGTGTTTTAAAGATCGCCTTCCGCCTTTCGGAGTAGGGTACACATGCATATTTTGAGTTTTAATATTGGTAACATTTCTGCTTTCGTATTGATAGGATTTCTATTGTCGTGAGTGCAAGGTAGGACTGGGAAGTAGGAAGTAAGGCAGTACAGACATATATTCATCAAGTATTCATTAACCAAAACAACCTGAGGGTATGCATGCCAAAAAATTAACAACAACAACAACGAAGGATGGTACATTGAATATAGTAACAACAGAAAGAAGCTGCACATGACGGAGTACAAATATTCTGGTAGATGTCTCTTAGTGTTATCTCAGTCAGTGCAGGCAGATGGGATGAGGTACCCTTGATCTCTGTTGATTAAGGACGTGTGCCGGCGGATTGGCACTGCCTCTGCAAGTTTTCGTTTGGACATTGTTTGAAATAATTTGTATATTTTTTATGAAGCCCGAAGTAGAAAGTGTGGAAAGGGTTACCGTTGATTGGCCTTGATTAGATGGTGGTATGTTGTGGGGATGTAATAACCTTGATCTCTGTTGATTGCCGGGTCGTGTCGTCTGATGATGATTGCCTCTAAGAGTAGTCTTGTAGTGTTCGACCGGTTCGGTTCACAGACGTTGGTGTTGTCCCAAAAGATGGTCTGGT